TGTTCAGACATACTCACAGATGTAAAATTAACTGTCCCTTTCAAGTGACACCACTATTGCTACCTCCGAAACAAGAAGTATGAGGTCGGGTAAATTAAATAAAAATGGCAGATTTTAATATCTATTGGAGGTAAGTTCACAGAGTTGCCAATTTTTTTATTTGTTTCCGAGATATGAAACCTCTGAGATAAAAAAATGTAGACACAACTAGAAGCTGTGTGAAGATAACAAACGCCATTTTGTAGAGAAGAAAGAAACTTTTGCATTGAACACTTTTTTCTAAAGTTGATGGATTTTGAAACATTCATGAAATAAGTTTTAAATGTTTTTTACATTTCCCCAGTGTTGCCAGGCCTAAAACTTCTATAGCATGAAATTTGAGTCATTAAAAACATGAGAAAACATGAGATTTTTAAAGTAGCTGAAAACACGAGGGCCATTAAAAAATAAATAAAAACAGTTATTTAAAACTCGTGATCTTGTTTCATACCATCTTTGGTAAAAAAAAAAACAATCAAAATAAAACAAACTATCGACGAAAATACATCACAAAAACAAAGGAACCTATCTTAGTACCTACAGAAGACAGGAGGAACCTTTGTGTTTTCTTCAATCACAGCTACATTCTATTTGATTAAAGATTTTTAAGTAAATGTCTATACTTTTCCACTACATTGGTGCTGTATATAGTGGGTTTCTTCTTATTTACAAATGTGTTTAAAATTTGGTACAGTTATTGGACCCAATATACAGGGTGTCCGGAAAATAGCGTAAAAGCTCTCCACTACGTAGTAGAGGATCCTTTGAGTAATCCTGGAAAAATAATTAAAAAAATCCTTCTCGACCATTCTTGGAAATATGAAGAGGTAAATGTGGAAATTCAACTTCCTTATTTTTGATTTTTTTTTCAAATTGCCATATTTCGTACAAAGTGTTAGGTATCTTTTGTTGATGTATTACATGATGGTTTATAAAAAAAAAATTAGTTGCTTACCTTTAAAACGCATTATAAAAATTGCAAAATCTCTAAATCACAACAGGAAAATTAATCTGACGACATTTTTCAGTCACCTCCGAATTTTTCAGGTAATTACATAGGTATTCAATTTAATTCTGTGACAAATCAATGCAAATTATCAACGGGATATTTTCAGTGTTGCCTATTTTGTTAAACATTAAAATGCTAATAACTTTCTTAAGAATGCCACCAGATTTTTTAAATTATTTTTCTGGGGTTCCTTAAAGGGTCCTCCCCCCATAGTGAAGAGGTTTTACGCTATTTTCCGAACACCCTGTATTGTTTCGTTCTTGAAATACCAGCTATTGTACTTTGGGTTTAGGCGGTTTTTTGACTTTGTAAAAAAAATCCTCTCACCGTGTCGCACTTGAGTGTGGTTTAAACTACATAAATTTAGCAACACCTCTTTTAAGTTTTGAAACTGATAACCAGAAATATTCACGACAAAATGCAAAAAACCAACATTATTTAATATCAAACCATAAGAAAAAAAATCATGAGATTTTTACTTGGAAGCATGAGAGCATGAGATGGACAATGAAAACATGAGATCTTATGTAAAATCATGAGGAATGGTAACGCTGCATTTCCCTTATATCTCGGAAACGTACAAACATTTAGCAACCCTGTGAACTTACCTTCAATGAATACTAAAATTTGTCACTTTTATCTAATTAAAACCGACCTCGTTCCTCTTACCGTTTTGGAGATAGCAATAGCTATTGCTAGTTGGATCAGTCAAAACGGACACCCTGTATAAAGGAAAATTTCAAAAAATATATACAGGGTATTAATAAATAGTGGGATCAAACTTCTAGGATAAATAGTACTCATTAAAATAAGAAAAAAGTTAATAGAAACATGGGTCCGCGAATGCTTAGTTTCCAAGATACAGGGTGTCAAAGTTTGAAAAAAAATCGTTTTTTTAACTCAAAAATCCCTTTCCCAATCTTCTTTTTCAAATTTGGCAGGTTTGTTTGTGATAACAAAAGGTACCTTTTGAGTTTTGACTGTAATATAACTTAATCTGCAAAAATATCAAAATTATAAAAAAATAGGGACATTACCAACGTTGTTCTTCTCTGGGGCGCCACTGAAATAATTACGATAAATCTAATGGAATCAAAAGATACCTTTTGTTATTATTACAAACAAATCTGCCAAGTTTAAAGAAATTCGGGAAACGGATTTTAAAAAACCGTATTTTTCAAACTTTGACACCCTGTATCTCGAAAACTAAGCGTTTGCGGACTTATGTTTCTATCAACTTTTTTCTTATTTTAATGAGTACTATTTATACCTACTAGAAGTTTGATCCCACTATTTATTAACACCCTGTATATATAAAAGATGGGCCCCGGGAAAACCCTTTGCGGGGGGGCCCCGGATTTGAAGTTACGCCACTGCATTTAATTAAAATATTCATAATGTCTCAACTAGTTCATCCAGGGTGCTTGGCTTTATCATTAGAAATAGTAAATATTCTACTTATCCAAGTACGCTTAGGCTTCTATACTATACCTTTGTTCGGTCAAAACTTGATTACGGCTCCATACTATGGAACCCAATATATAATTTTTATGCCAATGCAGCCGAGTCTATTCAGCGGCGTTTTCTTAAGTACCTCCATTTCAAAAGACATGGTTTCTATCCCGATAGAGGTTTTGACCATACTGCGTTACTTTTGGAGTTTGATGAAGTGTCTTTGGCTCAGAGACGAAGGGTTCAAGCTGTCAAGTTTCTGTATAACCTCTTGCATGGTAAAATAGACTGTCCAAATCTAATTGAGAGCATTTATTACAGGGTCCCCAGGCTGATGGGTAGGTATGAGACATTTTATTTGCACACTGCCAGAACCAACATGTTATGTTATACAGAAGTCTTTTATATTTTATGTGCAGAGTTTTTAATGAGGTTTCTGGAGACTGTGACATGAATGTCGATTCTATACAATCAATAATTCAGGCTGTACTGAATGTTTAGATTTTTGCTTGACTTGCTTACCTTCTCTTTTTTTTTGTTACAATTGTTACACTATACTTTTATTTTGTTTGTTATCCTGCCTTAATTATAGTTTACTCGCAACTACTTATAACACCAGTTTTGTGTCTACCTGCTTTATTTTGTTTTTTACTTTATAGATTTGTTTGTTTGTTATTTTTATTTATTTAATTTTTTTTTGTACTTTTTCCTGTAATTGGGATTATTCCTGTTGGAAATAAAGACTTATTTATTTATTTATTTATGTAATGAGCTCATTACATCACTAAGTACGATAATACAACTTATTACGTAACTCAAACAGGTTAAAATGATCCACATAATAAGCTCTTACAGTGTGGGTCATATATAAAACCCATTACATCACTGAGTGGCGAAATTCAGAAAAGTGAAATATGAGATTTTGTGGTAGCTAAATGGTAAATACCTACTATTTCTAAGGCTAAAAGGACATACCTACTAGAAACGAAGCAATTGAAGAAAATACGACAAACTTTTAGTTTTGAAGTGGAAGAAAACCGGTAATTATTTTTCTTTTTCCCTTCATTTTTTTTTTAGAAACATAATAAAATCTAAGAGTGTGCATTTTTGCATAATTTAGTTGATTTTCATGAATTTCTCTTGTTGTTATTTTCAACTGAAAACTTTTGAAACTTTAATTGATGAGCTCTTAATTTTTCTCTCTTTATCCTTAAAGTTTCATAGTTTTCCCTCCATTAGTTTCCTAGATAAATAAAAAAATATAAGAGGGTGCATTTTTGAGTTTTTAAACCTGATTTTCGTGAGTTTCTCTTCCTGCTGTTTTTAACGGGAAACTTTTGAAATTTAAATGTGATGAGCTCCTGATTTTCCTTTTTTCATCCCAAAAGTTTCACAATTTTCCCTTCATTAGTTTTCTAGAAAAATAATAAAATGTAAAAGGGTGCATTTTTGCATAATTTAGTTGATTTTCATGAATTTCTCTTGTTGTTGTTTTCAACTGGAAACTTTTGAAACTTTAATATGATGATTGATGAGCTCTTAATTTTTCTCTCTTTATCCTTAAAGTTTCATAGTTTTCCCTCCATTAGTTTCCTAGATAAATTTAAAAAAATATAAGAGGGTGCATTTTTGAGTTTTTAAACCTGATTTTCGTGAGTTTCTCTTCCTGCTGTTTTTCATTGGAAACTTTTGAAATTTTAACGTGATGACCTCCTGATTTTCCTCTTTTTGTTCAAAAACTTTCACAAATTTCCCTTCATTAGTGTTCTAGAAAAATAAGAAAATGTAAGAGGGTGCATTTTTGCATAATTTAGTTGATTTTCATGAATTTCTCTTGTTGCTGTTTTCACCTGGAAACTTTTGAAACTTTAATATGATGAGCTCTTAATTTTTCTCTCTTTATCCTTGAAGTTTCATAGTTTTCCCTCCTTTAGTTTCCTAGAAAAATAAAAAATTGTAAGGGGTGCATTTTTGCATAATTTGGGTTTTTAAACTATTTTCGTGAATTTCTCTTCTTACTGTTTTTAACTGGAAACTTTTAAAATTTAAATGTGATGAATTCCTGATTTTCCTGTTTTTATCCCAAAAGTTTCACAATTTTTCCTCCATTAGTTTTCTAGAAAAATAATAAAATGTGGGGTGCATTTTTGCATAATTCGGGTTTTTAAAGTAGATTTCCATGAATTTCTCTTGTTGCTGTTTTTTACTGGAAACTTTTGAAATCCCGATGAGCTTCTATTCAGGATTTTTTTCTAAGGCCTGATTTATTCCTCCTCAGGTAAACTTGCTGGTAACTATCTGCAAGATAAATTTACCGTTCTATAATTTTTTTGGTCGGCGGATAACTGACCGACCAATGGAATTACAGATTGTGTTTTTATCCGTCAAATTACTCTTGATTGAGCTAGTTCAATTCATTTCGACTCTGACTTATAAAACTAATCCAATCCAAATAATCAAAAATTGATTAATCTAACATGAGACATAAAAAATTATCACTTTGTTTCAACAACATTTTATTAAGGACAAATCCATTCAATAACCATAAACATATTTGCCGCTGACAAAACTCAGAGCAGATTGAACGGGTCTCAGAACACTTCTGGCTCTCAAATGGACATCAGTATCGACGCTAGATGATCTTCCTGATCGGTAAGACGGCTCAGAAACGAAATTATGAACAACAGCACCACTAACAGGACGATCCAAGTAATGACCCGAAGTGCCCATTTCGCTTCTGAGGTACGGGTCTTCGTCCACCCTAAAACAAACCTCTATGAAAATCTGGTTTGTGAATTTTCGCACCGTTTACCACATAAAGTCTACATTTCCTCGCCTGTTCAAGTACCAAATTATCAAAACCAAACAAGGAATCGCCGCTATGCACATGACTATGCCGAAAATACTCGAATGGGTCATTATTTTGTTGTACAACATTGCATCGGATCTTAAGGAAGCCTTTCAATCCTAATTATTAAAATATTTATTTATTTGGTCAAAAACTTACCTCAATTGCCTTATCTGAATAATCCAAAGTCCATTTGCACGTTTTTAGAAACAAAAACCAGATTCGCGACATGTAAAAATACATCCAATGGAACACAATGTTCTGTAAAAGTTACATAAAACTTGGATAATTTTAGAAAAAAAATTGCTTACTCTCCATAGTTTTGTTTTCCATGAAGTACGCGAATCCGTATATTTATGGATTTGAGTTCGGATCAATGCAAAAGTCGATATTAAAAATAAAACGCTGGGAATTGTCGATAGAATATTACGAGGATAGAGTTTCGAGGCTTCGATTATACCCTTGAGAAATTTCGCGTGGGTTTCTTCGAGGGACAAGGACATTATTTCTTTTTACTCCACTGGTGATTTTTTTTTGACAATGTTTTTTTGACATTGATGTGATGTTAAACAAAATAAAGGAATCGTTTTCGTAATTAAAATAAACACAAGACTCGTGTGAACTTGAGAGAATATCGAGGGCCCTTCGAAACACGTGCAGAAATATATTGTTTCACAAGGGTCCTAAGAAAACAAATATGAGATTAGGGAATAATAAATTTTTTGTTGGGTTTTATTGTTCATATATTACGGGCTCATTATAAGGAGGATTGGGGATTTTTGAAATCAAGAGCCGGGATTAATCAAAAATTGGATTATTCCTGGCTCTTGATTAGGTTTGTTTCAGTTCTCAAAGCCGAAACTAACTTTGACCAAGAGCCAGGAAGGATCAAAATTTGTCTTTCATGGCTCTAAATTGAGTCAATTTCACATCTCAGGTACAAATTAATCAAACAAATCAAGAAACAAAAGTTGAATTTTTACATTTGAACGTTTGAACCCTACAAAATCTTATTATTTTTGAAAAACAAACCCTTGTCTATTTATAGCCCAAAAACATTAAAATTATCAAAACCGAAATTCCTAAACACTCGTTTGCTATTCGTGAATCGACGATTCCCTAAGGATGAGCGGGAGGAGCCAGGTTTGACTTAAACGCCGCCTCTTTGAGGCAAAATCCCGATCTTTTAAGTCGCAGATTAAGTAGAAAGTGAGATTTGAAGAAGTGGGTGATTTTTTTTTTGAGTGCCAGTGAAATTGTGTCAAGTTTCTTGGAAAAGTGAAAAATTTTGTAAGTAATTTGATTATTTAAAAATAAAAAAATAGTGAAATTTTGAGTCCTAGATTTACAACTTTTGCGTATTAAACTTTCTCTATTATTTGTTTTTGTTAAACATTTCCTAGATTTTCTTTGAACATACCATGGATATTATGAATTTAAAACTTCCCCTAATTCATCAAAACCTCCTTGAGTAAAGTAAAGGTGAAAAGTTCAAAAAAAAATGTATTATAATAATATCAAAAGTGCTTACCTTATTTTCTTTGCCAATAGGGCACATCCAAAATTGTTCCTCTTTGCCCTAAAAATAACTTTCATTTACAAAGAATATTCGAGAAAAATCGTTTCATATGCTTGGAACATTCCAGCAAAAGCATTTCCTCATCAAAGCAAGATATACTAAGGAATATTTCTGAGCAATTTCACCAAAAACAATAATTAATTTGGTTGTTATTAAAGGGAAATATTATCGTACTAGTATGGTAATAATGTACTTTTCCAAGTAGTATGATGTAGATCAAGACTTATTTCAACTTTGCCTCCCACTTCCGTATCACAAGCTGAATTTTTCAGGGATGAAAGTACATGATAAGGTTATCCTTATTCCGGAGGTAATACAAAATTACAAAGGTAATAAAATTCACTGTACATTATTCCCATATGATACGAGAGGCTTAATGAGTGATAAGCCTTTTGGGATTATCGCGCTTGGTGGCAATATTTATAGCAAATTCTATTATAGAGAAAATTTTACATTTAAAGCTTATTAAAGTATATTTAAAATCTGTTTCTTTTTTAAAGATAATTCCCAAGTCAAAAATTTAGTAACTATGTTGGCAACACAAGCCTTTTCTACATAAAAAATTTGAAAGCATTGACAATTTTACATTGTATTGCCAACATAATGTCATTTTGACTTTTATCTTTAAAAAAAAACCTCGAATAAAACAGACTTTAGTTTCTTTCAACAGAAATTAGTAATGTTACTTTACTAAACTAGTAACATAATGTGACAAATTATTCAAGTACAAATGAGTGAATTGTTGCGGAACTTATGGGTGGACCTCTGCGGGACGAGCGCAGCGAGTTCCGCATCCATCTATTCATCAATATGTTGTTTAATTACGATACTAACCTGACTCAAATGTGAGTTGCCTTATTTGAACAGTTCAACAGTATATTGGTGAGTAGATGGCTGCGGAACTCGTTACGCTCGTCCCGCAGAGGTCCACCCATAAGTTCCGCAATAATCTACTTGTTTGTACTTGAACAATAACTTATTATATAAAGTCAAAATTTGTAAGATTATCCACTTTTTGTCAATTTGCCTTTGAACAGGAATTAGTAATCTTATTACTTTACTAAACTAGTAATATATTGTGACAAATTATTCAAGTACAAACGAGTGGATTGATGCGGCACTTATGGGTGGACCGAGCCATCTATTAACCAATATGTTGTTCAAGTATGATACAAACCTGACTCACTCAAATACGAGTTATTCTCATTAGTTCAAAAACTACACGTTCCAGCTAAATGGCTTACTTGAACAGTTCAACAGTATATTGGTGAGTAGATGGCTGCGGAACTCGCTGCGCTCGTCCCGCAGAGGTCCACCCATAAGTTCCGCAATAATCCACTTATTTGTACAGAGTATTTTTTCATATATTGACACCCCACCTACAGCCTTTACCTTTACAGGTAGTAGAAAGGTGTTGATACAAAAATTGTACAGTTTTAACTGAATTTTTAAAAATCATGGTCAGAAACAAAATTTCAATGTCAGAAATGTGAAACTTTACATGCTTCCAGCTTTTTTTGAATGGGATGCCCTGTATTTCATTCTATATTCTTGAAGAGCATAATGTTCCGATTCCAAAAATATATAGTTTGTCTATATTTGATTGAACAGTCTCTCATATATTTGGCTCTAAAAATTGTGAAAGTACTATCCTACTACTGATTTTGTGAACCATTCTACCTGTGTAGGTGAAAGCTGCAGGTAAAATTTGAGGTACTTGGTTTCTCTGATAATATTTTTAAAATTTTTAGAACCTAATATGTTGGAGACGGCTCAACCAAATATAAACAAACTATATATGTAGTTTTAGAATCGGGAAATTCTGCTCTTCAAGAATATAGAACCAAATATAGCGCATCCCATTTGAAAAAAGCTGAAAGCACGCAACATTTCACATTTCTGACATTCAATTTTTATTTCTGACCATGGATTCTAAAAATTTAACCAATACTGTACAACTTTTGTATTAACAGCTTTCATTTACTACTATAAAGGTGAAGGCTGTAAGTGGGGTGTTAATATATAAAAAACCACCCTGTACTTGAACAATAACTTATTATATAAAGTCAGAGTTTGTAAAATTATCCACTTTTTGTCAATTTGCCTTTTAACAGAAATGTTACTTTACCAAACTAGTAATATGATATGACAAGTTATTCAAGTTTAAACGGGTGGATTCACTGGATTGTTGCGGAACTTATGGGTGGACCACTGAGGGACGAGCGCAGCGAGTTCCGCAGCCATCTATTCATCAATATGTTGTTTATTACGATACTAACCTGACTCACTCAAATGTGAGTTGCCTTACTTGAACAGTTCAACAGTATATTGGTGAGTAGATGGCTGCGGAACTCGCTGCGCTCGTCCCGCAGAGGTCCACCCATAAGTTCTGCAATAATCCACTTATTTGTACTTGAACAATCAAGGGCGGATGGAGTAGGTCAGACTGCCTCTGGATTTCTCAAGCCTACCGGCCCTTTGAGCTGTATAAAGCAGGCAAATTGTATGCCGCCGAAAATCGCGAATTTTTTTCGGTGCCACGCCCAAAAACGTTTATTATAAACTTTCATGCTCACGATAGCGACCAAGCAATGACGTAACAGGACTGTCAAAACGACAATTTGTTTGAAGAAAGGACAGGTGGCAACCCTAGTCGAAGGCGAAACTTTTTTTGAGAGTCACGCTCACAAATACCTTTTATCCTAAAGCGGTTCATAATTTGAACTTCATTGTCGTACACTCGACACAGAAATTATCCATTATGTTCCTAAGCCCATAAAAATCTTTATTTATGGGATAATTTGTTCGATTTTTTCTCGCTAGAGGCAGCAGCGTCAATCAGCGCTATTATGTTTTTGTAATTTAGTATGCGTATTCTTAGCATCAACAACCAAGTTCCCAAAAGCATAAATTGTTCATAATTTGCACTAGTTTGTTCGTTTCAATTTTTTTGTTCAATATTAGTTTTCTTTTTCAGTTCATTAAATTTGATTTGTGGTAACATAAAATGAATATAGTAATATTCTTCATTCAAAAAAATAGACCATATGTTTACGAAGTGAGAACGGGTGTTCCGTTTAAATCTGTTTCAGATGTTTGACAGTTCAAGTGTTCAAGAACTATCCAATGTTGATCCAATTGGTTCATACTTTGTGGTCGGAAGTAGTTGGGCCGACTTCTGAACTCTGACATTGAGGTTAGATCTATTTACAAATCATTCTGGACACCGAGGCCGTGGCGCCATCTATTAGCAGTGAGTTATAGGAGTGACATTTGATCATTTTGACATTTAGTAAATAAACAGTTAAAAATGAAACAAAGTTCTGAATTATAGCTGTGAAAGGAAATAGGTCTGTTTCCACACAGTTTTCTGACTATTTTCAGTCAATGAAAATAATTGCTCTGACTGGTTTGTGATTTCTGTGGAAACAATCTGATATTGCAGTCGCTTGAAGATAAAATGTTGTATGCCATTCGGCCCAGAAGGTCTTTCGACTTTCTGACGTCCTTCGCTCGATTGTACTTCAAACGTTGAGCTCAGCACAAAAACATCCACTTCTTGGCCTATAATGACATGAATAAACATTTCAAGTAGAAAAGTTTCTTTTTCAAGGCCAAAACTATCTTTTTAAGGCGTTTTCTCGCGTCTCAAATGTTTCAAAACATTTTTCAAAACTGGTTTAGTAATGTCACCATGACGTCATAATTTCTCGGCGCGAAAAAATGGTTTGAAAACGTGGATTGGATTGTATTTCGAAACGGTTTGAACCAATTTTAACGTGACATCATGGGTTTATCGTGAGAATGTACTATTTAAAACAGTTTTGAATCAGTTTCAATAAAGTGAACGCGAGAAAACGCCTCTAGTGTTTCAAATTTCAAAAATATTTGCACGTCAGAGAGGAAGTTACTAGTGATAGGTCATAATGAAACAATATACTGAATGAGTCCAATAATAATAGCACAAAAATATAATTGAACAGCAATCATGCCTCGGCAATAGAATAGTTTTCTTATGCTGAATAGGGCTGGGCTGGGAATGGCCACTTTTGTCAATTTGCCTTTCAAGAGGAATTAGTAATGTTACTTTACTAAACTAGTAACATAATGTGACAAATTATTCAAATACAAATGAGTGAATTGTTGCGGAACTTATGGGTGGACCTCTGCGGGACGAGCGCAGCGAGTTCCGCAGCCATCCATTCATTAATATGTTGTTTAATTACGATATTAATCTGACTCACTCAAATGTGAGTTGCCTTATTTGAACAGTTCAACAGTATATTGGTGAGTAGATGGCTGCGGAACTCGCTGCGCTCGTCCCGCAGAGGTCCACCCATAAGTTCTGCAATAATCTACTTATTTGTACTTGAACAATAACTTATATAAAGTCAAAATTTGTAAGATTATCCACTTTTTGTCAATTTGCCTTTCAACAGGAATTAGTAATGTTATTACTTTACTAAACTAGTAATATATTGTGACAAATTATTCAAGTACAAACGAGTGGATTGTTGCGGAACTTATGGATGGACCGAGCCATCTATTCGCCAATATGTTGTTCAAGTATGATACTAACCTGACTCACTCAAATATGAGTTATTCTCATTAGTTTAAAAACTACACGTTCCAGTTAAATGCCTTACTTGAACAGTTCAACAGTTTACAGAGGTTCACCCTTAAGTTCCACAATAATCCACTTATTTGTACAGGGTTTTTTTTCATATATTGACACCCCACCTACAGCCTCCACCTTTACAGGTAGAAGAAAGGTGTAAATACAAAAGTTATACAGTTTTAACTGAATTTTTAAAAATCATGGTCAGAAACAAAATTTGAATGTCAGAAATGTGAAATTTTGCATGCTTCCAGCTTTTGTCAAATGGTATGCCCTATATTTCATTCTATATTCTTGAAGAGCACAATGTCCCGATGCCAAAAATATATAGTTTGTCTATATTTGATTGAACAGTCTCTCATAGGTGAAAGCTGCAGGTAAAATTTGAAGTACTTGGTTTTTCTGATAGTATTTTTAAAATTTTTAGAACCAAATATGTTGGAGACGGCTCAACCAAATATAAACAAACTATGTACATAGTTTTGGAATCGGGAAATTGTGCTCTTCAAGAATATAGAACCAAATATAGCGCATCCCATTTGAAAAAAGCTGAAAGCATGCAATATTTCACATTTCTGACATTCAATTTTAGTTTCTGACCATGAATTCTGACCATGAATTCTTAATCTCACCTGATTAGGTTAAAAAAAATTGCCCCATGAATACAAAATTAACGTGGTCAAAAGTTTTTTTTAAGCCACCTAAAAATACCCCAAAACGCCTTTGTTTCGAAGTTCGTGAAACACCCTGTATATGTATTTTGATAACATGATTAAGTAATTTATCTTGTTATTTTTTATTTTCCTCGAAGACGAATTATAGAGTAGGTAATACAGGTAATACACCATACACCCTATGAAACATTCCTCGACTTCAAGCGGATAAATTATTAATAATCCCTGAACAGACGAACAGAGTGAAACAGATCCCATACATATCAGTACTGAGAGAGATACATAGCGAGTCGAGAAACTCGGCAGTTTGTTGGCGATTTTCACAAATCTGTTCCTTTTCTCAGAACCCAGATAACGTGGGTGACAAGTTCTGAGATGAATGCCCTGTAATATATATCCGATATTTCAACGTATATTGTGCCTATATATGAAGTATATATTGTGCCAATCTGAAAAACAAATATTGGTCTATGTTTAAAAGAAATATTCCATATTTATTAATTCGTAATATTGGGACAATAGGTATCTTCAATATAAAAATTATATAAACTATAACATAGGTAATGTACCAATCTGTATCTTCAATAACGGATTCATATTGGAAATATGACCAATAAAAAAAATCTGACGTTGCCATCGTTGGGCCAATATGTAAATATAATATTTCACCAATATTGTTGTGCTACTGGAGAAATAGGTATTTATTTCTCTATACGGTGGTATCAATATCTCAATTTTGGATGATAGTAGGCACCCTTTTGCGCAGTCCAATTTTGTATTAAGTACCTCCGGAATAAGGGTAATCTTATCATGTACTTTCATCCCTGAAAAATTCAGCTTGTGACAAAAAAGTGGGAGGTAAATCGATTTTTAGAGCGAATATTTTAATCCATTCACTCTAGTAAAGTGTTATTGTCTTAATCAAGGAAATTCCTATTCTGATTGTTTCTGTGTATATAGAATTATTATGCCAAGAAGACGCAGAATGAGCTCAGACGACTCAGAAGACGAGTTCGACGAGACGCGCCACCCTCAACGGAACGCGGCAAATGCGAGGGAAAGGGCTAGAATGAGGGTGCTCAGTAAGGCGTTTTGCAGGTAAAAAAGATTTTATTTTGACTTAATCATTGATCAATATTCAGTTTGTTTTCAATTAACTCAGAATCTCAGAAAACTTATATACATCAGAGGTGTTACTTTATAGTTTTTTAACTTTTCAATCGTTTTATTTGATATTTTGAGTCACTTTGCCGGAAAATAATCTCAATTTTTTGTTTCTGAATCTTTCGAAAATGCCTGCATAGGATTTTGCCTTTATTAAAAACTTCAAATTTCAATATTGAAATTTTGCATGTATTTACTTTCTACATCAGCCAAGGGAGGTTTCGATTGATTCGGTTGTTACCCCTGGTTATCCCCAAAATCCCAAGTTATTCCCGGTAATTTCTGGCCATGACCACCAAATATCCCCGTGAAATCCTCCTCGGGGGGTTTCGATTGCAAAATTGTGTATGTATATCAACAAACTTTCTTCCTAACTTACAGTTATCCTTGTTTATCCAGAGTTAGTCCTGCATCCCTGTTTAAGTCCTTTAGTTGCTATAAAGCCTTTACTGATTATGTTTCCCTGTTTTTCTGGCTCACTATCTTTGTACTCGTTCTCTATTCTGGCTTTTATAAGTTCTCCATACACTCTGCTCAGCGTATTTATTACTGCAATTCCTCGGTGGTTTTCGCATTGTCTCCTTTCTTATATATCGTTGTTCAATAGCTTATTTTCCACTCTTGCGGTACTTCATGTTTATCTATGCATGTTTGAAATAGTTTTGTTAAATGTTTGTAGAGTTTATTGGTCCCACACTTTATCAGTTCTCTATCTATTTCTCCTGGGTTTGGTGCCCTACCATTTTTCAAGAAGCCGCAGTGCTTTTTAACTTCTTCTTGCATAACTTCTATTGGTGATCCTGCAGTTTTTATGTTTCGTGAATCGGCAATATTAGAAATACTAATGTCCAATATAAATGTCACACTATATTCTATTGGACGGTGGATAACTAACCGAATAATGAAATAACAGATTCAGATGGCGTTTTTATCCGTCAGATTGCATACCTGACAGTTTATCAGAAGGTGAATAAACCGGCCCTAAGTTCAGTATGTTTGCATTTTTCCAGTTATCCTCGATCATCAATTGGTTATCCCTGGTATAGAGAATGATGAGTGGCTAGCCGTTTAGTTATTCTGAAAAATTTTAAATTGCAAAGATCTACTTATCAATATTTTCATCAATACGCGGAACGAGTGTAGCTAGTTTCACAGCAATCCACTCATTTTCAGAACATTAAAGTTTACAACAGTAATGAGTACCTAGATAGACACTCAGAACTTCCAAAACTTCGCAATCGCCTCATTTTGTACGCAGTCCCACTCATTTTTGAAACAATCCACTCATTCTCCTATGTATTTGCTCCTGGATACATATTGTTACAAAAGCTTAACATTTATAAGAATATTTCTGTGGTAATTTAAAACAGTTTTCTAAGTATTCCGCCATAATATTAAATTGCTAGTACGGTTCCTACTGGAAAACGAGTGAATTGATGTTTTAGTTATTCTGAAAACGAGTAGATTGAGAAACACTAATCAGTTTCTCTAGAACACTGCAGCAATCGCCTCATTTTCGGAGTAATCCACTCATTTTTAGAACAATCTACTCATTTTTAGAAAAATTCTCTCATGATCCCTTGGTTATCCCCAGTTTTCCTCGGTTATTCTTTGATTATCCTTAGTTATCCCCAGAATTTCAAGTTATGTCCGGTTATCTCTGGCCAATATGTACACCAAATATCATCAGTAAAATCCTCCACGACATGTTATTTTCCAATGCCACTGTCTTGCAGTCGTAGATAACGTTTTATACATGCAGCTTCAAGGCGAACAAAAGTCTTGAGCGTTTTAACACTAATACAATTTAATAGAAATTTTACATGATTTTTTTTGCATCTAGCTGAGAAAAAATTCATAATTCCATTGCTGAGCCTGAGATTTATTCGCGGTTTGTTCTGTTTGATGAAAAAAACCCTACTCAATGAATCCTGAAAGTTTGAAGTCCCTCATCTGATTACTTGAAGTATTTTTCAGGAGCTTCCAAAGATGATTTAATAGAAATTTTTTACATTGTCTGTTCCTCCAGAGGAAATCAAGAGCCGAAAATTTAAAATTTTGATAATTACTAGCTCTTGAATCACTTGGAAATGTTTCCAAAGGAAATCAAGAGCCGGAAAAGATTCTCATTTTGATTATCACCGGCCAGAACATTTTTCTGCGCATTCAATTGACCGCAATTTGAACCTAATCCAAACTATGATTTGTTCCAGGTTGAAAACCACTTTACCCTGGGTACCAGCGGATACAAAACTTTCAAAATTAGACACCCTCAGATTGGCTACCAGCTATATAGCGCATTTAAGGGCTGTTCTAATGGATCAACCACCACCTAGTGATAATTTACACAAGCACCCATTGACTTTGGTAAGTAAAAATATTTGAATAAACTGTCAAAATAATATTTTGCAATTGAGAAATTCCTGGAAATGCAAAATTTAAAACCAAAATGTTAGAAAAAACCAACAATGTCTAACATTTTGCCAACAGTAACGTTAAATTGAAAAATTTCCAAAATAATTTATAATTATCAAAGTGTTTTCCCAAACAATAAAGCCCCTGTCATAAAAGTTAACACGTTTCCGGATAATTTTAGCTCTTTGGCTTGCTTCAAAAAGAGGATGCACTTTTCTTAACAAAACATCTCGAATGTCATAGAGCGGGGAATAATTGGGGAACCCGACAAATGCGTCCAGCTGTTCCAAAGAATCTGGAAGTGGTCTTTGTAATTTTAACGATTCGCGCGGCGTAAACTGTTTACGCCTGTTTAAATAAACACGGACAGTTTTCTTTGTTAGGGATTTTTATTGATAATTAAAAATAGTAAAAAATTGCCCGAAAATTCCTCAAAAACCCGCCGTCACTTAATGAGAAATTAATGGAGAGGCATGTTACATGTTAAATCAACACCTCACTTATATTATTAAATTGCGTGTTTTCCTTTACGAGACGCGTGCCATACCACTTTAACATCGTTCAGCCTGTTATTTTAATGTTTGCCAAATTATTTTTTTTTTCAGACTTGGCCATTTAGTTTTCATCAGCAGCGTCCGGAGTCGTCGTCGACAGACGGTTCCTACCAGGAACAACAGATAAACCAAAACCAACCCCCGTGGGTTGACGTGCCACCCTCTCAACACCCCGTCGTCAGGGATAAAGAAGTGTCTTATTACTATTAATTTATTTGTGGCTTTAAGACTTTCAGGAAGTCGTTTAATATTGGGGATTATCCCTTACTAATTTGTACAGATTATGGTTTTATTTATTATACTTAGTAGAAATAGAGTAGGTGCTATTTATTATTAGACCGAGAGCTTATAACACAAAAAAGTTAGTCATTTGTAACAGGTATGGCGACCCCCTAGGGGTAATGAGGAAAACGTAAAAGATGATACATTTCTTGCCGTTGGGTCCTAATGGCATGGCGCCTAATCGAACTTGTCAGATAAATTGCGGGTTTCAAACGATTTGTAACACAAAGATTCTTGTATTTTTCGATAGTTTATGAGAAAGGAACTAGTCGAAAGCGAAATGCCATTCTTATCCGGTAAGGCTTGCCTTAATAGTCCGCCATACCAATCAGCGCGCGTTGGTTTTTATTATTTTTTTGTATCATTATTAAGGAGTCATCACAAAAATCACCGTGTCATAACTTTCCGATGGTTCCAAGTAGCCGCCATACCGACCCAAAGACGTAGATTTCTTTAAAAATGCTAACTAAAAGATTTGTAACAGTATGGCATTTGTTTTTTCGAAAGGTAATAATATAATGTGACCGTTCATATATTTGCCATACTTATAATCAAGTGCAAAAGTCGTGCCGGACTTGAAAAACTAGTTTTCTGAAACGTCTTCCAGCTACAACTGGTACAAAATCTTGAATTATTTATTACAGTATGGTGCCATTGTATTAAGTTTGTTTTTATACGATTCTACCTAAAAACAATAATCCCATACTGATTTTGCTGATACCATGGAGCTGAAGACTGTCACACTTGTGCTAAGATGAGACCAAAAAAAAAATGACGAAACGGAATTGTAACAGTATGGCATTTTAATTTTTCAAAAGATTACAAGGAAAAATTATGCCATACTTATCGTGAACTTTTGGTGCCATACTTGAAAAATTAGTTTTCTGAAACGTCTTCCAGCTACAATTGGTAAAACATGTAAAATTATTTAGGTATTACAGTCAGTATAGCATCTATATTGTAGTCACTTTGTTTCTATACGATTCTACCTGAAAACAATTATCCAATATTGATACCATGGGGCTGAAGACTGTCACACTAAAAAAATGACGAAACGAATTGTTACAGTATGACTTTTCAATTTTTCGAAAGTTTACGAGGGAATATATTTCGGAAAAATTATGCCATACTTATAGTGAAGTCTGAAAGTTGTTACTTGAAGAACTGGTTTTCTTGAACGTTTTTGAGCTACAACTGGTACAGGTTGTTAAAATTCTCATTACAGTATGGTAATGTTTTTTTATACTGTGTGTGTGTGTGCGTTGACATGAAACAAAGTTCCATGAAACTTGCTACAGTTTACAAGTCTCATGGAACTTATTCCTCCAGTGTCACCTGTTTTTGAATTGGGCGAGATGGCCACAACCGAGGGAAAAAATTTTGAGGGGAGCGTAGAATATTATAAATCATTGTTATACAAGAAGATTGTCACTACCATAACGTCTGAAACTTTGATATTTAGATTCTCAGTACCTTGAACTTTCAGAAAAAAATCGTGCCAGACTGTTACAAATATTTGACCCATACCACGGGTATGGCGTAGTCTGATTTTAATTTCTAATCACACAAACAAGTGTCAAACAAATGTATAGGGTGTTACAAATCGAAATCGTTTAGTATTATTAAAGACATCTACGTCTTTGGGGCGGTATGGCGTCTACTTAAAACCATCGAAACAGAGTAGGACTGTTTCTGCAGAAATCACAAACCAGTCAGAGCGAATTTCATTTGTTTCAAAATAGTCAAATGGAATTCACTCTGACTGGTTTGTGATTTCTGCAGAAACAGACCTATTATGGCACGGTGATTTTCGTGAATGACTCCTCAAAGATGATCAGTAAAAAAAAAAAATTGCTTGTTACAAAATAATCTTAATAAATAATCGTTTCGTTCTCCTCATTACGTAATTCGACCTCTAGAGGGCGCCATACGTGTTACAAATGATTAACAGCTGTATGCAGCAATCTGCAGCATCCTCTTTTAACTTGAAAGCTCTTTTTAAAACTGGTCACTTTTAAAAATATGTATTCTAAACCATACAAATTTTTAAAGGTACCAGTTTTAAAAAGCGCTTTTAAGTTAAAAGAGGATGTTGCACACAGCTGTAAGTTTTTTGTGTAATGAGCTCCCAGTCTATTATATGGTATAAAGATGATGTAAGATGAAATGATTTTTAATACAGCATAAAGTAGAAGCTCGATTTTTGCATCCTCTCACACTCACACCAGTCTCGAATCCTATAATATGCATTTATTTTCCCGTTTTTCCACAATTAAAAGAGATCCAAAGTTTACATAAAGGGGCATTTAATTTCATACTCTGATCATAACACATTTTTCTATAAGCGTGCGTTTTTGGCCACTTTCCCGCACGTACTTTAAAAAGCAATGACAAACTCACCTCTGCTTAAGTCGCGTGGTTATAGGGTTGCTATATGGTGACATAATATTGTCAAGCCAAAAAATATCACGCTCTATAACATTATTATTCCAATACGAATTAACCAAAGTTCATTGACTAATAATGTCCCAATTTAGTTGGGCAATTCGGATGTTATATTAAATAAAGCAAACGCATTCAGAGTCAGCAAAAAAGCTTAAAGCCAACAACCTAGGTTTTAAGGACCCCTAGGGCCCCATACACTACGATGAAACACGACGGTTTTCACCGCCACGGTGAAACACGTCGTTCTAAAACCGAAGTGTGTAATAGAAAAACACGACGGTTTTCTACAGGGCCCCACAGACTACGATGAAACATGACGGTTTCCATCGCCACGAGGAAACACGTCGTTCCAAAACCGAAGTGTGTGGTAGAAAACCGTCGTGTTTCATCGTCGGTTTAAAATTCAGTCCGAGCTTGATTTTTGCCACGACGCGACGGTTCAATATTTCGTATACACGAACGGTTTTCTACCACACACTTCGGTTCTGGAACGACGTGTTTCCTCGTGGCGATGTAAACCGTCGTGTTTCATCGTAGTCTGTGGGGCCCTGTAGAAAACCGTCGTGTTTTTCTATTACACACTTCGGTTTTAGAACGACGTGTTTCACCGTGGCGGTGAAAACCGTCGTGTTTCATCGTAGTGTGTGGGGCCCTTCAAATTCAGTCCGAGCTTGATTTTTGGCACGACGGTTCAACATTTTGTACACACGAACGGTTTTCTACCACACACTTCGGTTTTGGAACGACGTGTTTCATCGTGGCGGTCAAAACCGTCGTGTTTCATCGTAGTTGTATGGGGCCCTGTAGAAAACCGTCGTGTTATTCTATAAAGGGCCCCATACACTACGATGAAACACGACGATTTTCACCGCCACGATGAAACACGTCGTTCTAAAACCGAAGTGTGTAATAGAAAAACACGACGGTTTTCTACAGGGCCCCACAGACTACGATAAAACACGACGGTTTTCATCGCCACGATGAAACACGTCGTTCCAAAACCGAAGTGTGTGGTAGAAAACCGTTCGTGTGTACAAAATGTTGAATCGTCGTGCCAAAAATCAAGCTCGGACTGAATTTGAAGGGCCCCATACACTACGATGAAACACGACGGTTTTCACCGCCACGATGAAACACGTCGTTCTAAAACCGAAGTGTGTTATAGAAAAACACGACGGTTTTCTACAGGGCCCCACAGACTACGATGAAACACGACGGTTTTCATCGCCACGATGAAACACGTCGTTCCAAAACCGAAGTGTGTGGTAGAAAGCCGTCGTGTTTCATCGTCAGTTCAAAATTCAGTCCGAGCTTGATTTTTTGCACGACGGTTCAACATTTCGTACACATGAACGGTTTTCTACCACACACTTCGGTTTTGGAACGACGTGTTTTATCGTGGCGATGAAAACCGTCGTGTTTCCTCGTAGTCTGTGGGGCCCTGTAGAAAACCGTCGTGTTTTTCTATAACACACTTCGGTTTTAGAACGACGTGTTTCATCGAGGCGGTGAAAACCGTCGTGTTTCATCGTAGTGTATGGGGCCCTTGAAACCGAATAAGTGTGTAATAGAAAAACATGACGGTTTTCTACAGGGCCCCACACACTACGATGAAATACGACGGTTTTCATCGCCACGATGAAACAAAAATTCAGTCCGAGCTTGATTTTTGGCACGACCGACGCGACGGTTCAATATTTCGTACACACGAACGGTTTTCTACCACACACCTCGGTTTTGGAACGACGTGTTTTATCGTGGCGATGAAAACCGTCGTGTTTCATCGTATTGTGTGGGGCCCTGTAGAAAACCGTCGTGTTTTTCTATTACACACTTCGGTTTTAGAACGACGGTTTTCATCGCGGCGATGAAAACTGACGAGAAAGAACGTATGGGGCCCTTTAGGTCAATGATTTTTGCTGACAATTCTGAATCGATTTGGATCGATAAAGCGTAATTTTCAAGTTAGTTGTAAATCTAAATTCGGGCGTTAAAGTCGAAAAGGTTGTGCTTCGGGCTAACGGGCTACAGGAAGATGGGATTCCGGTAAGTACAATTATTAAACTTTTATAAATCGTCTACACCTTTTCCATGTGTAATTGAGAATATATCACTTAATTTTCAGAATAGTAAAATATTATTGCGAATAAATCAGATCTAATTGAGAATAGTCAATTGATATTGCGAATATATTAACTGTAATTGAGAAAAGTCAAATATAATTGCGAAAATATCACATGTAATTGAGAATAGTAAAGTGTAATTGTGATTATATCATATGTAATTGGGTATAATCAAATGAAATTAGGAATAAATCAAATGCAATTGAGCCTATTCATTTTTCAATCAACATCTCTATCTATGCAGTTGGGAGTTGTTATGGCAATGAAATCTTTTGTTTAAATACATGTGGGTACTTTCGTGACAAAAAAAGGCAACAAAAAAATGGAATTTCGCGACAATTGTGGTATATGCAGATCCACGATGACGAGGAAGCAAGTAGTACGACTTTTGCCATGCAGGCATCTTCTTCATCGCCCTTGCGTCGAGTTGCTATTCGGCCAAGTTGGTAACGCAAGATTATGTCCAATTTGCAGACAAGACTGTCATGACAAAGAAGCGGTAGACAGGAGAAGATATAAGGTACATTCAAACCGCGACCGAGAGAGGATTGTGACATGCGCAAACAAGGGAAACGACTGGGGAGCGCTGGCAAAAGATTTGGGAATAAATTATAAAACGGCGTCAAACTGGATACGCTCTGGACGTCCACAAATGATAACCAGGGGAGGTAAGAAACCTAAATCCTTAACTGGAGCGGAAATAGATGTTATAATTTCATGGGTAGAACAAGATAGCACAATAACATTAAAAGCTATTAAACAAAAATTTCACCTAGAATTCAGAAAAGACGTTTCGGTTCCGACGATCGGAAATTATTTAGAGGGAAGGCAGTTTATACAGTGAAAAACAACCACTACGAACCAGTTGCCAGAAACTCCTTAGAAAACAAAGTCAAACGTGCAGAATAGGTACGTCCGATCTCTAAATAACTACATACAAGCGGGAAAACAAATAATATGGATAGATCAAACAAATTTTAATTTGTTTTGTCAGCGAAGTAGAGGACGCGCAAGAAGAGGAGATCGGTGAGTCCAACAGTTGCCGGCATCCAAAGGGCCCAACGTACATCTTATTGGTGCTATTACTGCAGCTGGCGTGGTAACAATGGATCGGCAACGCGGTTCATTCACGGCAGAAACTGCAAACAATTGGATAAGGCGGGTGATGGACATTTCGCAAAACCAAGGAAATCAATTAGAAGACCTGGTTATAGTTTGCGACAATGCTCCGTGTCATTCTCACCTGGAAGAAGCAATAAATGGAACAAATGCCACACTTCTAAGACTGGCACCCTATTCACCAATGTTCAATCCAATTGAGAATATTTGGTCGAAAATAAAATCATTCGTTAAAGCCAATTTGCGTGTCCCAGTTTGTCGGCCGCCCGGGAGTAATTGAACAGAGATTGCAGTACCTGGAAGAAATTATTGATGAGGCAAAACAAACTATTGTAGGAGGAGACTGTGCCCGTGCAGCCCAACATTCTACAAGCACTGGCTCAAGAAAACATGGCTATTGGCCGTTGACTTCCATTGGAGATGTTTTTATTTTTATGTAAATCGCGTTATGTGTTCAAGTTTTTTTACATAGGTATATTTTATGTAATTTGTTCCCACTGAATTCTGTTTATTTTTAAGAGGTTTTTCGAAAATCAATAAAAACCACTTTCTGAGACTCTGCGTAGATTGTTTATTCAAAAAATTAACATTTTCAATTAACCTTAATCCTCAGATATTATCAACAAGCTGAGTAACAAAATATTTGACAATATCTTATTTATATTTAAATAATTCGCAACTACATTTGATATATTCCTAATTTCATTTGATTATCCCCAATTACATATGATATATTCGCAATTATACCTAACTTTTCCCAATTACATTTTATATAATCGCAATAACATTCAACTCTTCCCAATTACATTTAATATAGTCGCAACATCATTTGACTATTCGCAAAATCAATTAATGAATTCGCAATATAACTTGCTATATTCGCAATTACACATGGAAAAGGTGTAACCCGTAATGTTCTCATCGGCCATCATTCTACATTACTGACTGTTCTTAATTTAATTATTAATTTTGAAAATAAATATTTTTCTTGGTGTTACAAAACTTGATTGTTTTAATCTCTGAGATTCCCCCGGTCCCTAGTTGCAACTAAATAAGATTGCAACAATCTCAACCAAACAGGGTTGTGACAATATATAGGTACCAAGCATTGAGGTAGAATAATAGGGAGACGCTGTCAGCATTTGAATAGTGGAATAAAAACGGTATCGGTGGGCGTGGCTAAAGACACTAACAATATGGCTACTAACACAGAGCCGAACTAAATAAATTCTTCATAATTTTTATCTATAAACGTAAAAAATCTACATTACGCCAAGAAAGAAAAAGTTGCTACAGAAACATAAACATACTGAGACAGAAGACCCAAAACAGAAATTCTGCGCTTCAAAAATTTTTCGCATTTAAAACATCTTCGGATGGAAAATACGGCCCTGATGCATTACTGTCGCGTTGCTATGACAAAAGTGACAGACTTTCATACAGAAGAACACTCACAATATGGCGGAACTGGGTACACGTTTGTTTCGTCATTTCGCCTCCCTATTATTCTACCTCAATGGTACCAAGGTACCCTTATTTATTCTGTGGTTATGAGGCTAGTGCAAATAGTGTAAGGGCCGGTATCTCAATAGCAAGTTAGGGATGTGCGATTTTCATCGATTATTGAAAAACATCGATGTTATCATCGATTTTGGTAGTGAAAATCGACAATAGGAAAAAGTTAAAGATAAATTTTACTTGCAGAACGAAATCGCTATAATACCCAGCCCTCATAGCGAATTATAAATTACATTTAGTTAAAAAGTCGCACTGTGTGTGTTGGTGTCTTTTTCTTCAAGCATGTGGAAAGGATATTAAAGCTACATTTTTCTAGCACTAGATCTGTAAAAATAAATCGCTACAAGCAAGTTCCTATTCTAAATTAGTCAAAACGAAATAAGGACCACTTTCACTTTACCACAGGGTTATTCAAAATTTAATAAAAACTAAGGTGCTCTTTAAAGTGGTCCTTATTTCGTTTTGAGTAGTTTATATTCGAATCCCATACTACAAATGCATGACAATGAAATAAGACAGATTTTGTTCAGACTGTAGAAAATATGATTGTTATTATTAACAACAATAAATTATTTCTTCCATTTTATTATTAAACGTTCTGTAAAAATAGAAATTTTTCATATTTACTTAAAACCAAAACTTAAAATCATTGAACTAAACAAACACTCTGGAACGGGCGCACTGCTTTATGCTAGTGTGCCGAATTTTGATATATGCAACCCAGCAATACAGAGGGATTGTTGTCTCGCTCGCACTCATTGCGATTAACGTGAAGAAGAGAAGAGCTTCTTCATCTTCCTTCCCTCAATCAATGATCCAAACACTTCAAACAGCTGTTCTCAATAGCCGCCATAGTGCAGAGCGAGATGCAAATCCCTCTTGTTTGTTGTCCTTCCTGGCACAAACCCTTGCATAGGAACATTATGCAGCCACCGTTCCAGTGTGTTTGTTTAGTTCATTGCTTAAAATAAGCAAAATATATTTCAATTCTGACAGCCACTTCTATTTTTCCCAATTCAAATTATTTCACATCCGTTCAAATGTCATTATTACGGACCAGAAAATATCCATATAAAAGAAACGCCTTACTTCTACTATTCTTAATAACTTGTAAGTTTATCCATTACAACACTTCCGATTAAACTACCCTTCACCTATATCTATACATTCTTAAAAATTCCTAAGTCCTTTACTGACTGCTTATGAGAAATAAAAATAATTATTTGTTTATTAATATAGGTATTACTAACTTATTCATAAAAAAACCTTACAATAATTTCTACATGAAAATTAAAAACCCTAATTTAAAATTTCAGCAATTAATTTTTTAATAATTCCTAGTCAAAATCGATACTTGGTAAGTGCATTATAAATTCCCCTTTTAATTATTTGCAAAATTAATTTAAATGTCATTATACTCGAAGGCAACTAAATTTATGCAATAAAGTTCCATAGTCAAAACACTCGAGTTATTGATATTTATGCAATAAAGTTCCAAAGTTAATTCACTTCATAGTCATTCATCATTTATAAAGTCAAAAGTTTTACTAGTCAAAATCACTCAAGTTTTTAGGCATTAAAAGTCATTGTCAATTCACTTCTTATCATTCAGAATCATTGTTAAAAGTCAGAAAAACATTAATAATCATTAAAGTACTTACATTTAAATTGTCAGTCGATTAAATACTTAATTAATTACTCAACAATTTCTAGAGCTCGCACATAATATTGAACGCCTTTAAATGTTCTTTCTTTCAGAATTTTCTGTACTTTTTCTAAGTTAAATTAGACCCGAGGCAAACATAAAAGAAACTCTTCGCGAATTGTTTTATCCAGACTGATACATTAGGTACTGTAGACTTTAACTCAAACTGGACTGAACTGCGAACTGATCTGACAACTGACTTCCACTTCTAAAACCGCCTGTTTTATATTTTTCGATTCCCCCCCAAAGTATTATTAATTATCCACCAAAATCGTCAATAAGCGGTCGTTTGACCATCAATAAGTCAATCCCATTGGCCGACCTAGATATTATCAAAAAATAATGATGCAATCTATTTGAAATTTTTGTCATTTTTATTTGTTTAAAATCGAATAATTATGTCGCAATATCCTGATTTATAGGGGTCAACACATCTTTGGTTCAAGAATGTGAGGACAACACAAAGAAGACCGGCACACGTGAGCCATTAATCATCGATTTAATTACTCTGGCCTCGATTTCAATAAGTTCATTGATTTTAGGAGATGACATCACGCTTCGTGACTAAATAATAGAATTTTTTAACGTATATAAATATTTTAATTTAATTTGGGGTCAACGCTAATTTGTTTCATTTTCAATTTATCGATACTGATTTGAAATACAGGAAATTCAGTTTTTGATTATTTGATTACATTTAATTTTTTCAGTAAAGACATTGTAATTAGCGAGTCTAATTTCCGGATCATTACAGTGCTAATAGTATAAGGTATAAATTATTTGCTAATCTTGAGTGGTTAGATAGGTATAAAGGTATCTACAAGTATAATACATTATTTTTCGTCAATAACAATGTTTTGAAAAATAAATTATGCTTTTCTAATAATAATTACCTTTATCAGCGTAAATTATTGATTTTTTTAATTGTGCACATTTTACTTAGAACTCTTAGGAGATAATCGCGTAACTAATTAACTCTACCTTTCAATTTATTTGCAATGTAAAATTTTTGCCATATTGGCACATTGCCACACTCAACAATGAAGACGTTCATATTATTTGTATTTTTTCAAATCATAATATGTTTGGGTAATATCAACTGATTTGCATATTTAATTTTCTCAACAATAATTGTTATTCTAGCGCATTATGATTCTACCGAGTGTCCGACTGGAGATAATGAATGTAACGATCCTAATGCGGAATTGAGATACGATAATCCGAATTGTACTGTAACATGTAATAAGAGAACCATAAGTGATAATTCTGGTAAGTAATTTTTTTACCAATTCAACTTTTAAGCAACATCTCGCTAGATACAATAACATTCCATTGAATAAGCTCCAAAAAAAGTCCTGTAACTTTTTTTGCTAGCACTTGTATTTTTTGAGATAATCGGCTTTTTGGCGTCGTGGACGGTTGATGGAAAGTTTTAGCTGATAGGTGCATCAAATTCATTAATTTTTCTCTTTTGGTTAATTACTGAGTGCGTCAGCAAGCTTAGTATCTCAAGTTTTATTGTTACCTATGCGAGCTCGTGTAAATCACTTGTAGTCAAGATTCTAGAAACTTTAATTTGTATTTGATCGCTTTTCAGACTCTTGCTTTGGACTCATCGAACTAACCTTGTCATGTTACTGCAAAAACACATTCGTCTTGGACGAAACAACCAACACTTGCGTCCAACCTGAGAATTGTCCGTGCAACACTACCAACAACGAAGTTTCCCGGTACAGTAACAATTGTGCCAACGGGTGTGCAACGTTCCATACACCCATCGACTGCTCAGGAGTGCTGCACGGAGGCTGTTGGTGCATTCCGACTTATTGCACGGATGAAAATGGTACTTGTATTGAAAAAATAGCATAATGCTCCAAATGATGAATTGAATATACCCATTGGCCATTGCTGTATAAACTAATAAAAACTGTGCTAATAAGGACCTATGTGTACTAATTCTGTAATGAACCGGAAAAATAGTCCCGAAATTTACAACTTCTTTACTGTAAAAAATTAAATGTAATCAAATAATCAAAAACTGAATTTCCGGTATTCCAAATCAGTATCGATAAATTGAAAATGAAGCAAATTAGCGTTGACCCCAAATTTAATTAAAATATTTATATACGTTAAAAAATTCTATTATTTAGTCACCAAGCGTGATGTCATCTCCTAACTCAAACAAATCAATGAACTTTTAAAAGCAAGGCCATAGTAATTAAATCGATGATTTATGACATTCTTGAACCAAAAATTTTTTGACCCCGATAAATCAAGATATTGCGACATAATTATTCGATTTTAAACAAATAAAAATGACAAAAATTTCAAATAGATTGCATCATAATTTTTGGATAATATCTAGGTCGGCCAATGGAATTGACTTATTGATGGTCAAACGACCGCCTATTGACGATTTTGGTGGATAATTAATAATACTTTGGGGGGGAATCGAAAAATATAAAACAGGCGGTTTTAGAAGTGGAAGGCAGTTGTCAGTCGAGTTGTTAGTTCAGTCCAGTTTGAGTTAAAGTCTACAGTACCTAATGTGTCAGTCCGAGTAAAATTCGTGAAAGTTTCTTTTAAGGCCTCGGAAAACGCGTTTAATTTAACTTAGAAAAAGTACGGAAAATTGTGAAAGAAAAAACATTTAAAGGCGTTCAATATTATGTGCGAGCTCTAGAAATTTTTGAGTAATTACACAGCTCGTAGAAAACTTTTGAGTTAAAGTTCGAAAATTTTGACGAGTTCTACAAAAAATTTAAATAAACTATTTGTCTATGACTGATGTTTATCGAAATTTATCATTTGCAGCAGATTTCCTAGGAAGTTTTAACTTAAGGGGCTGATAACGCAAAAAACGGGACAAATATTGAAATTGCTAATGAAACCTCCTTGTAGAAAATTTAAATCCTCTATCAAATAAGATATAATTCATAATCCAAAGAAATCGGTTCAAAGACAAAAAAGTTGTGGCCAATTTAATGAAACATATCGATTTGTGAAATTCAGAAATTTTGACTTTGGTTTTTGGCCCTATCCTATAGGAAGGTTCCTTCAACACGCAGAAATCTGAAAATGATGAAAATCGCAACTTGAACCAACCGGTCATAGTTTGGTAGGAGGTCGTAGCTTATTAGCTTATATTGAGTTTTCAGTTTTCCTCCACGACTTAGGCCGGAGTCTCATGCATCCATTTTCCGACGAAAGATGTCCGAAAAACCTTCTATTTTGACATATTTATATACGATTATGTCAGAATGAAAGGTTTTTCTGACATCTTTCATCGGAAATCGGATGCATGAGACTCGGCTTTGGAGATTTGCATTATGACGTCATATGGGCTGAGTTCGGTTTTGCACTCCAAGGAGCGGAACGGTATAAGCATGGATGTCGTGACGTCAAACGCAGAGTGCGCATTGAACAATGTCATAAGCCGAACGCAGGTTCGAAAAAAAATCGTGAAACCTTCTATGGTGAAACACTTAGCTGCTTTCGGATGCCACCCTTTGAGCGCTCCCGAGTTACTCCGAAGTACTCCGGCTACAGTTAAGTTGTATTCCTTTCAAAAGTTTGAAACACTCGAGCTACTCGCTTCGGTGTTTAGTCGCCCCCGATTTGCAGAAAACAGATGCGTGGTGCAAAAAACACTTTTCGAAAGGAATAAGCGCGTGAAGCCCCGGAGCTGTTCCGGCGCTCCTCATAGGTGTGAAAGGAATACAACTTTTGACTCGTTCGGTTTCAAGCGTTCGAGTGCAAAACGCTTGGAGTATGACAGGTGTGAAGTGTTCTAGGAGCTTCGCACTCTGCACCCAAAAGCGGCTCTTTGTCACAGTTGTCACCAATCTTTTTTTTTTATATCGAAGACGTCATAACTTAAAAAAAAAGGGTTGTCATCATCCTTGGTGTCTCAAAGTGCTCCAATGTGCATACTGGAAAGCAGCTATTTATGGCAAGACACTTTCAGCAATAAAGTAGTTGTATTTGATTAAGGGCGGGTATTATAAAACTACTTTGAGAGTTAACTTAAAGTTAACTTCTGGAATTACATGTAATTCAAAAAGTTAACTTCAAGTTAACTGTCAAAGCAGTTTTATAATATTCGCCCTAAGAAGTGTTCTTGGACAACTGCCACAACTACCACAAAAGGTACTTTCCAGTGACCAATTTGAGTTACTCCTGAGCAGCTCAGGAGTGTTCCACAATTGCTTTGCGCGTTCCAGTGCTTAGAGTGGTACACTCGAACTACTCATCTCTGTTATCCCCTGCCCCCTCGTGCACCAACCTTTATTTCGGTGTTCCATGCTCCTGAAGTCCGAAATGGTGGGGGTTAAGACGAGAGCGTTCCAGTGCTGATTATGTCGAACAGTTCAAGAGCGTCACACTCCAGGAGCATGATACTGTAACCATTTAGGCACTGGAAAGCAGCTAAAGTCCACAACCCTTTGATCTAAATCGAGTTACACGATGATCTGGTAATCATTTCACCAAGTTGGCAACACTGTAAATTCATTGGCTGAGTTCAGCCGGAGTCTCATGCATCCGTCTTCCGACGAAAGATGTCCGAAAAACTTTCTATTTTGACATATTTTCATACGATTATGTCAGAATAGAGGGTTTTTCGGAAGTCTTTCGTCGGAAAACGGATGCATGAGACTCTGGCTTAAGGCTTTACACTTTACACTCGGTATCGGTAAACTCCGAGCGCGCTCGAAACGATTAGATCCTGTTCGTTTTAGCTCTCAGATGAGGTTTGTTTGTTTGTTTGTGTCGCGCTAACTTGAACTAAGCTGTAATATTTCAGATTATGGCAGATACACCAATATAAAACGCTCACAAACGAACGCTCCAAAGCCTTCTACAGGCTTTTATAGATTATAGATTTATACCTATTGTGATTGAAAGAATCCAAAACTCAATTTTTAACTATATTTGTAGGGCTTCTAGGGGCAGTTTCTCAATAGCAACTCACCTCCGGGTTAAGCATAACTCCAGGGTAAACATAGCAACTGGACATGTGTACCCTGGAGTTAAAACAAACCCGGAGGTGATTCGCTATTGAGAAACCAGCCCTAGGAAGACCTGCGGCTTCTATTACAGTGACTCTATTACCCACAGTGGCGACAATTGTTGTCTTATTTTTGATTGGTTCTAAAATCCCATATATTTATATTGAAAACGCCGCCATCTTGTGCCCACCTATTGCTTATTTCAAATATGAATATTCGGGATTTAGGTGAACATCCATCATAAAACATGGAAAACAACGTATTTGATGGACCTCATAATAGTTATTAATACGCCGATTTCAATTTTTAATGAAATATGTCCATTTAAATCCTCTAAATTCATATTTGAAAGTAACAAGAGGTTGGGAACAAAATGGCGGCGGGACCTCTATTGTCGCCACTGTATGTAAAGGTTTATTTAGCCACTGTAGCTTCTATCTTTGATTTTATTCTACGTGTCTAAAGCTAGGTTTTCAGTTTCAACATGACATCACCATAAGTGCTCCCATTTTGAAAAGATATGCAATTTTAATCGAAATCTTGATAAAGCTCGTAGAAAATTTTTCAGTTAAAATTCGAATATTTTGACGAGTTCTACAAGAAATTTCAATAATCTATAGACAAATAGATTATACGACTGGTGTTTATCGAAATTTAACATTTGCAGCAGATTTCCTAGGTAGTTTTAACTCTAGGAGCTGATAACGCAAAAACGGGACAAGTATCGAAATCTATATATATAAAAGACAGTTGTGTTGGTTCTAACACTTATAACTCGAGAACGGCTGGACAGATTTTTATGATTTTTGCTTTATTGGATTTGTCTTTGTCCCCAATAACATAATATATCGAAAAAATCCAAAAAAAAACAACAGAAAACAAAATTAATTATTTTACTTATTTATGAAAAAAACTCACTAAGCCCGCATACGGTGCCATCTCTTATAACCGATACCAAGTTTACCGCCACATTTTCATTGCAAACCATTTTGTATGCGGCGCCATCTATGATACCTAGAACGAAGCTCGCCGTTGCGCGATAATTTCATTGCAGATACAGTAGAACAATGCTGCTCAGGAACTGGAGCTATTCCGAACAGAATTATTTCATTATTCCGATCAGAGTGGTGCAGAAAGAGTAGATCAGATAGAATAGTGCAGATAGAGTAGAACAGATGGAGTAGTGCAGAGCATGCAGTGCAGATAGAGTGAAACGGGGCTGCGCTGGAAATTTTTTTGTTTTCTTTTCTGGTACACTTTACAAGAATAATGCCCACAAGCTGCCTAAAAAAGGATGATGTAAAATTTTAATTTTAGGTGACTTCTGATCCAGAGAGTAAACATTGATTTTCTTCAACCAAAGCCAAATTCACCATCGAAAAAAACTGAATTTAATTCAGCTACTGCTACTAGATACATTAACACGACATTTAATAGGTATTTAATAATTCAGACGCGGTAAGAAGTTTGCCGGGTCAGCTAGTTGTTAATAAAACCTCTTTGTAGACAATTTAATCCTCTATCAAATAAGACATATCTACATTCAAAGAAATCGGTTCAAAGACAAAGAAGTTGTGGCCAATTTAATGAAACATATCGAATCGTGAAATTCCGTAATTTTTACTTTGGTTTTTGGCCCTATACTATAGGTACCATCAAAACTCAACACACAGAAATCTGAAAATGACGCAACTTGAACCGGCCTATAGCTTGTTAATCGCCAAGTCGTAGGTAGCCTATTGAGTTTTCAGTTTTCCCTCGACGACTTACGGTTTCCGAAATAATTTAATCGACTTTGAAGTTTTAAAATCGTAGGCCAAAAAGTCAAAGTGGAAATTTCCGAATTTTTCTTTAACTACGTCATAAAGGAGTGTCGTGTCGGTGAATTTTTTTAAATTATTTAAATTGATGACCTCCGCCCATGGTCGTTCAGCTAAGTTTACAGTGGAGTGTGTTTAGAAATGGAGTGTGAAGGTAAAGTAGTTGTTTCTCGGAGTGTTCTGACGTCATCACTTAACGTGCACTCTGGGTGCGCTATTTCGGAACGTATTGGGGCGTTTCGGTAAATGTCAATAATTTTTAAATCACGTCAAACCCGTTAAAAACCGCGGGGCGTTTTTCAACTCAGTTCTTGAGTGGTGTAATATGGGCGCACTCTGGAGCGGGTACGTCAACTTTCGGTTTCTGAACGATTCCAGCGTAACGCTCCGAGTAACGACCTGTTAATTTATGAACGGTTTAGAATTACTCTAGGGCATTAGGGTCACTTTCACACTCAGAGTGCTATTTTTTGACGCAACTCTACTGTCCCTTAGGGATGCAACGATACTAGGGGAGTATGGATATTATGTACTCACGAGTATTTTTTTGTTACAGTATCGATACTACTCGATATTGTGCTTAAAAGTATCGTTACTCTTGGGTATCGATTACTTTTGCAATAATTCAATAATTTCATAATTTCGGTTGATGTTTATTATATGTACCATCGTCACCAAAAGTATCTGGGACACAAATAATGCATAATAATCTCCTGGACTAATTCTACTCATTTCAATGCATTTATTTACGACTAATGTATAATGTGCGTATTAAATTTGTGATTTTGGCAGTGTAATGACATATGTTATTCCTCCAGGGATTAATGACGAGTAGCGGGATTAATGGTCATTATTCCACAAAAGTGTCAGTGTCAAACGTGTAGTGCTTGTGGATTTGTATGGAAAATTATGAGACGGATGAAATTTGTTCATTGAAAATCTCAAATAAATTAATTTGTCGTAAATAAAGTAGAGTATACTACTCGCAATAATGGCTATTATTCCCTCGGAATGTTACTCCCTCGCCGCTAACGCGGCTCAGTTCGTAATAATCCTCGGGAATAATAGCTATCATTATTGACTCGTGGTATAATCTACTATTAATTCATAGTTTGACAAATATTTGACATTAAAATTCATATAATAGGACAAGAGCTAATGCGATGCTGTCCCAGTTACTTTTGGTGACGATGGTACATAAAATACAGGTGAAAACCTAATTATCTGTTTGTAATTACCTATTTACCATACTTAGGGCGGGTATTATAAAACTACTTTGAAAGTTAACTAGAAGTTAACTTCTGAAAATACATGTAAAATCTGTTTTTTTTTTAAAGATAAAAGTCAGAATGACATTATGTTGGCAATACAATGTAAAATTGTCAATGCTTTCAAATTTTTTATGTAGAAAGGGCTTGTGTTGCCAACATAGTTACTAAATTTTTGACTTGGGGAATTATCTTTAAAAAAAACAGACTTTAATTGAAAAAGTTAACTTCAAGTTAACTGTCAAAGCAGTTTTATAATACCCGCCCTAAAAATTACATTACAATAGTTCTTTTCACGTGGCTCCGGTTTAACTAACCGGGTTACAAAACGGTTAGAGTAATGACATACCGTTTTCTAACCCGGTTACAAAGTGACGTGATGGATACCTACCACTCGAATTTGAGCGGTATGTTGCGGTTTCTTAAACCGGAGCCACGTGAAAAGGGTTAATGATTTATATCACCTAAATCCTTTTCACGTGGCTCCGTTTAAACTAACCGGGCTACAAAACGGTATGCCAAGTATGACATACCGTTTTCTAACCCGGTTACAAAGTGACATACGACTCGAATTTGAGCGGTATGTTGCGGTTTGTTAAACCGGAGCCACGTGAAAAAGGTTCTAGATTGTTAGATATCCTCCTAAATACCTACCTATTTTTATTCTCACATTCTTACCTTCTTGAGGCTCTTCTAAATCTTGGTAAATCCTTTCAAATTAAGTATGCTAAATCACCAATCACAAGTGGAAAAAAACCCACTATAAAATTCCGTCCCAGTCCCAGACAGATCCCAGAAACATATCCAATCTTTCTTGCTGACGTAGTGACGTCTGACATGCATGCATTTCGGTTCGGTTCCCAACAGCATATGTCTTTATTTATAGATTTTTTGTGTGCAAGAAAGAAAGATATAGATTAAAAAGAGTTATTTATCCACTTTTTTTTACATTTTCAAATTACTCTTTTTAGGGCGGGTATTATAAAACTACTTTGAGAGTTAACTTGAAGTTAACTTCTGGAATTACATGTAATTCAAAAAGTTAACTGTCAAAGCAGTTCTTTAATACCCGCCCTTACATAAAGATGTCGCTTCTTCCTGCCAATTTCAGTATTTAGTAAGGTTTTTCAAGTATCGATATTAGATAAATAGTATATCGATACCTACTTGATTTGAGAAAAAAAGTATCCAGTATAAGAAGTACTCGATATTTTGAGAATGTATCGATACTTTCAAAGTATCGATAGTGTCGTTGCATCCCTACCCTTAGCCATTAAGTCTGTTCCCACAGGAGTCTTTGACAGTTTGCAAACTGTCAGTAACATCGCCCATACATGTTTCCAATGCTGTCGTTCCAAGATTAATCTGTAACTCAGCTGAGCGATTGTTTCTGACAGTTTGCAAACTGTCAAAGACTCCTGTGGGAACAGGCCGTTAATGGCCCATATTTGCGCTGTTGCCAAATACATAAACAAATTACCTAAATATTTAAAAAAATCCACTTAGAAAACTATCTAATAATTAATTATTATTTAAAAAAAGATAATTTCTTAATTATTATTATTATAATTCAGAAATAATTAATTATTATGATAATAAATAAATGGAAAAACAATTTTTAAGGTTATAAAATCCAGACGCCAACATTCCAACAGCTGTTTTCTGGATATTTATCATTCCAATAAGACGTTTCACTCAGTCAGACACAAACCTATTTATTTTTATTTGCAAAATTTCAATTAAGCATGTTGCCCAACAACATGCAGCATCAATACTGGGTGACCAAGAAAAGCGTACTCAGAAAATTGGGCGGCAAAGAAGACGAGTGCGTCGTATCTTCTGATGCCGAGCTGGACGCCAAACTGGAACTGTTCAAGTCTGTTAACGAAAGTTGCGTCCAGTTGCAGCGAATCATCGACTTGTACCAGGAAAGGTTGTGCTATTTGGCTCAGGAGGAAAATGCACTAGGAAGGTAAAAAAATCTATTGAAAATTATGCCTGATATACAATACACACTTTTGTTTAGGTACTTAAAAGAATGCGGCAAAAATGAGAAAAACTCTAGCGCTGGTCAGCTAATGGCAACAGCAGGCAAAGCCTTAGCTTACACTGGCCATCAAAGATTAACAATCAGGCCCCCTCTAGTTAGATTGCACCATGAAGTTGAAACTTTCAGAGCGAGAGCCATATCGGATACACGGTACACATCAAACAATTCTCTTGATTTTATACTTTATTTATAATATTTAGGGTTACTGTAACTGAAATGGAGAAAGCTAGGACAGAATATAGGGCAGCTTTGAGCTGGATGAAGTCAGCTTCGAGTCAGCTAGATCCGGACACTGGGCACGGTTTGGACAAATTCAGGAAGGCTCAGTCTTACGTGAAGACAACTAAAACCAAATTTGATCGGTACACTTTGGCTTGTTTGCAAAAAGTTGATTTGCTTGCTGCAGCAAGGTAAAATCCATACGGGTTCGATTATAATCAAATTCACATTTTTTTTGCTTAATATTATCCTTTACATAGTTTTTTTTTTGTAATTCTACTAAGCTAAAGGTATCATAGCAACATCAACTGATTTCATTTAGCAGTTCATTGTATAATTTTGGAACTTTAAAGAATTACAGCTGTATGCAACATCCTCTTTTAACTTAAAAGCGCTTTTCATGTGTATTTTAAGCAATACAAATTTATAGAGGTACCAGTTTTAAAAAGCGTTGAGTTAAAAGAGGATGTAGGAGATATCCAAAACTCATCAGGGAGATCTTAAGAGGTTTAGGAAAGTCTGGGGAGGGAAATCTGAGAAGATTTATGGGAAATGTGAGGGATATCTGGGGAAATCTGACCGAATGAATTAAATGTAGCTTTGATATTGCCAGAAAAGTAATTAGTGGGGCTGAAAATTATACCAACCAATGCGCCCCTTTGGGTTCAGATAGCCTATCATTATACTATCTGCCTAGATGGTGTTTCATGTTCAAATTTGGAAGGATGTTTATTCAAGGGATGCCTTATCATCCCTCAAAAGGAAAATTCCTTGCCAGCCGTCAAACTTAGGATAATCATCCCTCTTATGAAAAAATATTGAAAATTTCATATTTTCTTATTTTTTCTTCAGACACCAAGATGGTGTTTCACGTTCAAATTTGAAAGGATGCTTATTCAAGGGATGCTTCATCATCCCTCAAAAGGAAAATTCCTTGCCAGCTGTCAAACTTAGGAAAATCATCTCTCGTATGAAAAAATATTGAAAATTTCATATTTTCTTATTTTTTCTTCAGACACCTAGATGGTGTTTCATGTTCAAATTTAAAAGGATGCTTGTTCAAGGGATGCTTTATCATCCCTCAAAAGGAAAATTCCGTGCCGGCCGTCAAATTTAGGAAAATCATCCCTCATATGAAAAAATATTGAAAATTTCATATTTTCTTATTTTTTCTTCAGGCACCTAGATGGTGTTTCATGTTCAAATTTAAAAAGATGCTTGTTCAAGGGATGCTTTATCATCCCTCAAAAGGAAAATTCCTTGCCAGCCGTCAAACTTAGGAGAATCATCCCTCTTATGAAAAAATATTGAAAATTTCATATTTTCTTATTTTTTCTTCAGACACCTAGATGGTGTTTCACGTTCAAATTTGAAAGGATGCTTTATCATCCTTCAAAAGGAAAATTCCTTGCCAGCCGTCAAACTTAGGAAAATCATCCCTCGTATGAAAAAATATTGAAAATTTCATATTTTCCTTTTTTTTCTTCAGACACCTAGATGGTGTTTCATGTTCAAATTTGGAAGGATGCTTGTTCAAAGGATGCTTTATCATCCCTCAAAAGGAAAATTTCTTGCCGGCTGTCAAACTTAGGAACATCATCCCTCGTATAAAAAAATATTGAAAGTTTCATATTTTCTTATTTTTTCTTCAGACACCTAGATGGTGTTCCATGTTCAAATTTGGAAGGATGCTTGTTCAAGGGATGCTTTATCATCCCTCAAAAGGAAAATTCCTTGCCGGCCGTCAAACTTAAGAAAATCATCCCTCGTATGAAAAAATATTGAAAATTTCATATTTTCTTATTTTTTCTTCAGACACCTAGATGGTGTTTCATGTTCAAATTTGGAAGGATGCTTGTTCAAGGGATGCTTTATCATATCATCCCTCAAAAGGAAAATTCCTTGCCAGCCGTCAAACTTAGGAAAATCATCCCTCGTATAAAAAAATATTGAAAATTTCATATTTTCTTATTTTTTCTTCAGACACCTAGTATCTGAACCCAAAGAGGCGCATCAATAGATCAGGAGAAAATGCACATGTTGTGTTAAAGAGAAAACCTCAGGAGTTATATTCAGGCTGTGCACTTGTGCTGATATTTTATGAAATCCCTGAAAAATAGGGAGATCTAAGGAAATCTTGGTAAATTTAAGGAAATCTGAAGAATTTTTAGGGAGATCCCGGGTAGTCTGGTATATGTAAGAATAATCTGTGGATATCTTTTGCATAAAGATATTTCTTGTTCACTTAAATATGTTGTGCCTAACCCCTTGGTTGTTCCTTAATTGACTATTGTACCTAGTCAACAAGTTTCTTCAATTCAACAAAGTGTCAAGAATTCTTTTACCTTTAGTAGTAGAAGCTTGGAATTCAGATTATATTACAAATTATTTCCAATTTAGATGCAACATGTTCTCTCACGCTCTGGTCCCCTATCAGAAAGCTTTACAAGTTTTCGCCACAAAAGCCCTGGAAACTCTAAATTTAGCTGAAACAAAACTGTTGAAAGTGGAGCCCAATGATTTAAGCATAATGTCTGAGCTAGTGGAATCACCCAGCAAAAAAAAGCCTGCTAATGAAGGCAAGATTTGTAAAATTCCACTTAAATTTCTAATAACAACTCAATCCATTTTTAGAAGACATTAAAAATGCTGTTGATGTTTTCGAAGACAAAGACAGAAACACGTTTTTCAATGCTGAATACAAAGACAATGCAGATAAACCAAAAGAGTAAGTTGCTTAAAAAAAAAAGTTTTATAAACACCAATTATTTACCTATAGGCAACAAGATGCTTCAACCACAAACCTACTAGGAGACGATTTCGCGCCTGAACCTCCAAACCCCCAAGAAATCGACCAATCCAAACCGAGCTCTGCATTATTAGATTTCAATTTTCCATCAGACGCTTTGGCTGATCTTTTGGGTATGCCTTCCAGTTTAATGCAGCAAGACACTTTTACATTGAATAAAAAAGAAGAAACTGTGCAAAAGAAGGTTCCGGATAAAACAGAAAGTCAAATGAATTGGCTGAGCTTGTTTGCCGAACTCGATCCTTTAGCCAATGGGGTTTTGGAGAATAATTTGGCTGGAGACAGAGCATAATAAGAATATACAAATAATCATTCCATAATATTTTTTCTTATTTTAGCCACTTTGTGATTTTTTTCCTATTGCACTTTATCTAGTCATATAAATAACCAAAGATTTTGTTTGTTTTTGCTTGTGTATATTTAGGAATAATATATAAATATTACATGGACAAATAGTGTTTTTGATTAATACATAATAATGATTAAAATGATTGATATAAAGGATAAATAATTAATATTGATAATTTGATTTTTTAGCAACACTTTCCAGTTTTGCATTTTTTGTCTTCAGTGGTTTCCCCAGATTTGCATTGTTTTGGTTTGGAGCAGCACTTTTCTTCTTTTGAATCGGTTTTGCATTTGCAATCCTTGCAGACGCACTCTTTTCCTTCAGAGCAACAATCTCCTTTCGGACAGCATTTGCCTTCGTTGCAACAATCCTTGCAAACACACTTTTCTCCTTCTTTGCAACATTTAGCATTACATTTGCAATAGCAAGTTACGCTGCAGGTAATTTTGCAAGAATCAGTTTTGGAATTTTTGCATTTGCAATCCTTGCAGGCGCATTCTTTTCCCTCAGAGCAACAATCTCCTTTTGGACAGCATTTGCCATCTTTGCAACAATCTGGATTGCACTTGCAATCCTTGCAAACACATTCTTTGCCTTCAGAGCAACAATCTCCTTTTGGGCAGCATTTGCCTTCTTTGCAACAATCTGGCTTGCATTTGCAGTCCTTGCCAACACAAGTCACACTGCAGGTAATTTTGCAATCTTTCAAGTCAACACAGCAAGAATCAGCTTTGGAATTTTTACACTTGCAATCCTTGCAAACGCACTTTTCTCGTGCAGAGCAGCAATTTCCTTCTGAACAGCATTTGCCATTAATGCAACAGCAACTGCAACAATCCTTATCGGTTTTGCACTTGCAGTCTTTGCAAGCACAAGTCTTGGCTTGATTGGAGCAGCAGTTTCCTTCCGGACAGCATTTACCGTTTTGGCAACAGCAATTGACGTCTTCCTTGCACTCGCAATCCTTGCAAGTGCAATTGGCTTCGCAGCAATCACCTTCCGGACAGCATTTTCCGTTGAAGCAACAGCAACTGCAGCATTTCTTGTCAGTTTTGCACTTGCAGTCTTTGCAAGTACAGGTTTCAGTTGAACAGCAATTTCCGTCTGGACAGCATTTTGCGTCTTTGCAACAGCTTCCAATATCAGTACAAACTTCTGCAATATAGTTCATTATAAATTAGACAACCAACAAAACAATAACAATAATTCTCACCTTTGCTCATCTCCATATTTCACTGATAAAAATTATTTCGGAAATACTCGTCAAAATTTAATTCACTTCACTTCGGTTTTCGTTTCGGTGTAGAACAACTTTTGGTCGGTACTCGCTGGGTACCATAGTTAAATAGCGTTTCGTATACCGCAGTGGTACCGAGCGCAAAAGTATCGCTTGGAATTGCACAGGGTACCACACTTCGTGTGCAACAGAATTTGTTTGTGTTGGTTCAATATCGAGGAAACTTTTTAAAGTATAGTTTTCTTTGTAGTATAAAAAGATTGATTTTGAAATTATTGTTTTAATTTGAAATTATATTTTCCTGCAATCATTTTAGCAATATACATTTTCCCGTTTTCAAAAGTTCCTTATCTTTGGCATTCAATTTAATTATCAGCCATAGTAGGTCATTAACCGATGCCAGATAATTATTATTAGTAATGCTTTAGAACCGTGTGCAATGAAAGTTCGACCGTGTGCAAAAGGGACAAATTATCCTAATAAGAATAGATAAAAGGTTCGTGTGCAAGTTAAATGCCAGAAAAATCTATATCACAATAATTGCTCATCATTTTCCAAAATCTATATCTATCCATCTGAATCAGATTGAATGATTTTTTTTTTTGAAAATTATTTATTTCCGTTAAACAATCTAAAGTACAATGTTTTAATTTTCTTAACTCAGTAGGTACCTATATAAAAAAATACTGGTCACAAGAAAAACAAGCTTATCTTAATTAATATGCTATTATCCAACTTTTTTAACAACTAAATTAAATTAAATGCTGATCTATTCAGCTCCCATTCAGAGTCAATGGAAGTAATGCGAGATCCTTTGTCAGCTAAATTATCACCTGTGGGAGCGTATGAAGCATGTATCCAAAATGCCTCTGTTCTCACAAAAATTTCAAATTTGCTGGGTAAGCAAATACCACTAATACCAGCCATATACGTCATCTTTCCCCCACAATATGCTCCCCACCCAGTGGTGGAGGAATCTGTGTTAATTTCCAATCGAAAAGATTCTTCTTTTATATTTTGAAAAGCATATGGGATTTTATTAATTCACCAATTTTAGTTATTGATTATTTTTGAATGGTTAATTTTCATCGAATTTTTTTAATTTTAATTTGCTTTATCTATGGCAATTATCTTTGGTCTTTCCAAACTCTTTATATTATATGTAACAATAGTATATTGTTGTATTAGGAGTAGAAGCTTTACTTTTTTGTGCTGAAGCAGTAGGTTTGCGAGCCGAACGTAGTGAGGCTTGCAATACTGCTGAAGCACAAAAAAGTGCTTCTACTCCGTATGCAACACGCTATTTTTTCTCCAAACAAATGGGGTAACTGAATGGTTAAGGGGTAACTGAATGGTTAAGCGGCACTAAAAGTACTTCTACTGCCGCTGCAGTTGCCTAGCAGCATAGAAATTAAATTTCTACCACCTCGCCAAGTGTTAACCTGCTGGATTTGCCTACCAGCATAGAAATTAAATTTCTAACATCTTGACAGGTGCTAACAAAGTGACGTTTGGAGAAAATAGTTTTTTTTTTTTACGGATATGCGCACTCGCAAGGAAATGTCCTATCACGCTCGAGAAGCGGCAAGTGCGCGGAAATGTCGGTGAATGTTGGTCTTGAAACGATTCAGGTTGTAACCTGCAGGGAAAACCGTCGCAGGGAGTTTATTCCACAGCGATGCTGTTCTCTAGAGATATGAATTCTGATATAATGAGGTTCTTGGTGCCTCTAGTTTGACAGTAAATTCATGGTTACCGTCTGTTTGACGGGTTCGCCTGGTAGGCGCTACTCTCGGTGGAATCATATTGTTCGTCGATTTTAATCTGATATTCGGACGGAATGTAAGCTGGTGGCTCCCTACATTAAAACACCAATGGTTACTTGACGTCACACCTGTTTTTGCCATATGAAACACCCCGTCGCTCCTCATACCGCAAGTATCAATTAAAAATCGACGAACAATACGTGCCAACTCTTCAGAGCATTTTCCGTGATAGTACCTGTAGAAGAGAGATAAATCGCCCACAGATCTGCGATGTTCGAGACCATCCAAGTTACGAGTAAGTGCGGGGTCATTGATCAGCTTGATAGCTCGTTTTTGCACGGTGTTCAAAAGCATTAAGGTATGTTTGGGTGCTGCACTCCATATATGTGAGCAGTACTCCATAGTTGGTCGAATCTGGGCTTTGTAGCGTGTCAGCAATTGGCTTGGTGTGTACAGATGTCTTGTACGAAATAGCACCCCCAGCTTTTGGGACGCCCTTTTAGCAATATCTGCCACGTGATTGTGCCAAGACATGTTGGTCTCTGCAGTAACCCCCAAGATGTTCAACTGACTCTGTAATGTGACAGCACTTCCAGATAGCATGATGTTTGGCTCACCGGTGCTGGTCTTTTTTGAAAACAAAGCTGCTTGGGTTTTCTGTGCGTTGAACTGTACAAGGTTTTTGTCACCCCAGTCCTCTATTATCTCCAGGTCGTTATTTATCTGCGATATTTGAGTTAGTCTAAGATGATGGAATTCACGTGCGGAAAGACCTGTGGGTGGTATGAGTGAGGAGACTACATTGCCATAGTCTGCAAAGCAATAAAGTGGATTTACTGTTTTATCTATGAGGTCATTTATGTAAATCAGAAAAAGAGTTGGCGAAAGGATTGCTCCCTGTGGCACACCAGCATTTATTTGGTAAGATATGGAGTTCCGGCCATCCAGTGCAACATAAATGGATCTGTCCTTTAGGTAACTTTCAAACCAAGTGCAAAGTTTTGGCGATTATACAACTCACTGTACATTATTCCCATATGACACGAGAGGATTAATAAGTGATAATCCTTCCCATATGACACCAGAGGCTTAATAAGTGATAATCCTTTTGCACGGTAACTGGTGTTTTGACATTTTTTGACAAAAAAATTTAAATTTTTGATTCATGAAATTATTAATTAATAAAGAATTAAAGTTTAGTTCGTTGTATAATCTTTTGAATACCACTCGAGTTTTCAGGATTACCTAATACTTTTACCTGTCACTCCGAAGGAGGAGTGGTGTTGCTGGTAACGCGTTGATCCGGTAATCCTGAAACCTCTTGTGGTATTACATTCGATAATCCCATTGCTTTGAGCTTGTTGAGCAGATTTTCATGCCAAACTTTGTCGAATGCTTTAGATATATCTAAGGCAATTGTTCTTGTTTCACCCCGCAACTCAATCGCTTTTTGCCATAAGTGAGTGACGTATGTAAGTAAATCGCCAGTTGACCTATATTTTCGAAATCCGTATTGCTTATCGTTGATAATTTTGTACTTTTCCAAGTAGGGGAGAGTAGTACACAATGAAACGCGGTACACAATGAAACATTCCAATCATTTCGTTTAAATTTCGCGCCACATTGATTCCACCGCGACCTAACGTACGTCAGTGCTTACTACTTCATCCAGTGTGTTTTGGCGGTGATACCGACATTTTGATAAAAGTGGCAAACAAAATTGTGTTTTTTGGACCCTGAAGTTTTTTTCGGAATTTTGTTGTGAAAAGGTATAATATTTTTTTATATTATTTTTATTGTTTGGGGGTGATACATTTAGGATAAGGAGTTTATTGGTAACATAACCTAATAATTTCAGATTGATTAAATAATATTTAACGTGTTTTTTTACTTCGAAAATCAGCAGGTGTCCGGTGGTACACAATGAAACATAAACGGTGGTACACAATGATACATGTATCATTGTGAACCACATTGAAAACATTTTCTAAAACATTGTTTTTTAAATCAAATTTAAAGATAATATTGTATTAGTTGTAATGTTATAATAATATTTGATCATGTAGTACGCTAATACGTTACAATTTTGTTATTTTTTTAATTTATTTAGATTCACTATGGTCCGAAAAAAGAAAGAGTGAACAAGGGCTACTTTTACTCCAGAAAGCATGGCAGCTGCTGTAGCAGAAGTTCGTGATAGGGGCACATCATTAAGACAAGCCGCAGAAATGTACAATGTCAAATTTACCACCCTAAGAAGGTATGTTTTGAAGAAACGGGAAGACCCAAATGCAAAAATGGAGCCGAATTATTCCGTAAGAGCTGTTTTTTCAAAGATTCAAGAAGAATCATTATGCAAATATATAAAAAAATGCAGTGAAATGGCATATGGATTGAACACAACAAAAGTAAGAAAACTTGCATACGAGATGGCACATAGAAATAAAATAAAATGTCCTGAAAGCTGGAAAACTACTAAACGGGCTAGTGCGGATTGGCTGCGAGCATTTATAAAAAGGGCTACATGCTTGAGTATCAGAAAGCCTGAAGCGTGCTCATTATCTCGCCTGACATCTTTCAACAGACATAATGTCGGTAAATTTTTTTCGAACTTGGTGGAAGTTTATAAAAAGTATCCCCTAGCTGTGGAAGACATTCGAATTTATAACTTGGACGAGACAGGCACCACAACAGTCCAACAACCACAAAAAGTATTAGCTCAAAAGGGAGTAAAACAGTTAAATCAATGTTCAAGTGCTGAAAGAGGAACATTAGCAACCACTGTAGCTATAATTCGTGCTGACGGAACCTTCTTACCACCTGTTATTGTCTTTCCGCGTAAGAAGTTTAAGCAAATAATGTTAAATGGAGCCCCCCCAAACACTTTAGGACTTGCAAATCCATCTGGATGGATGACTGCTGAGCTTTTTCAAGAAGTGCTAATACATTTTATAAAACACTCGAATACTACCTCGGAGAGACCATCTATTCTAATTTATGATAATCACGAGTCTCATGTTTCATTAGAAATTGCTGAAACTGCAAGGTTAAATGGTGTAATAATTGTAACACTGCCTCCACATTGTAGTAATAAATTACAGCCACTGGATAAAGCAGTTTTTTCACCTTTCAAAACCTTTTACAATGCTGCAATAGACTCATGGTTAGTAAATCATCCCGGAATACCCATGACCTTATATCAGATTGCTGAGTGCGTAGGAATTGCACATTCCAAAGCCATGAACCCAGAAAATATTATTGCCGGCTTCAAAAGCACTGGAATATTTCCGTTCAACTCAAATATATTTTCTGATATTGATTTTAT